CAGTGGTGTTGTCGAGCCGGAACGCTCCGGAACGTCGTTCCGGTACTTCCTTTTTGGACAGGAACGCGTTCCGGAACTAAAGATGATTTCTGATAACGAGAATTGGCTGACGTATTGAAAAAAAAATTAAAAAGAATTGCTGATTTTTTTTTCTAATTTTTGACGAATTTTTATATGTTTTATTATAAACAAGGGTTTGAACCGAACCCGAACCGGCTTGTTTTTCCGAACCGTGAACAGGGCCGATCCTGGCGACGGGCGAAAATTGGGGGAAATCCCCCCTCCCGTCGTCGTCAAATTTGGGACATGAGACCGCACAGAGCGGCCGCCTACCCAGGATCGGCCCTGTCTATATAATTATATATATGCGTTCCGGTAAAAAAAAAATTAGCACAACACCACTGGGTTAGATACTGTTTATAAATACTTAAGGATATAGGATAAGATTAACTCAGGATAGGAAGTAGTAGAGGTACGTGTCCAACAAGTCCTAGAACTGACGATCTTATGATGATAATGATGATGATGACAACGATCATTAATATTTTTTTAATTAGTAAGTTCGGTTCTAATTTTCATTAATAGTAATAATTATGTCAACCAATTAAACTTGGAGGACATGTAGATACAAAATAAAAATATTGCAAATTTTTGGATTGACGAAATTGTACACCCTGTATTTTCCATTAAGTTCAGATCGAAATGAAAGTTGCTCGTAAATTACAACTACTTTTGTGCCTGTTGTTATTTTATGGCCTGTTTGTGTCATTACGTTGATTTGAACAGCTTTACGATTGCAGCGGTCGCCCGTGGTGATGGTAGTAGATCGTCCGCGTGGAGGCACGCAACAAATTATGCAGATTTCGTCCACTGTCCGCGGGCCATCGCGAATCGTCCAAAAATGAAGAAAAACTCGTCAAAATTATAAGTCCGACTGGAGCTTTAGCAGGTGTAAGCTAATTGACGCATAAAAGAGAAAAATAATCCGAGTTAATATCGAAACAACCTCGGTAATTACTTTGTCGTAAAATAAATGGGATAAAAAGTGAGGGTTTTTTACATTATCTGTATATTTGGGTCACCGAGGAAGGTGAACACATTAAATAGTTAAGCATTCGCATGTTTTGCAATTCTCTTGATTAAATGTTACTTTTTTCATAACTTAAAGTGACTGTGCTAATAACTGCGAACGGTTAATTTAGTAATTCGACAAAAAAATATTAAAGGCGAACGTCTCATGTGTGGAGCCCGACTTTGTACGGGTGCGAAACGTGGACCGTGACGAAAAGGTTCGAAATGTGGTGTTACAGGCGAATGATGAGGATAATGTAGATAGACAAGGTTAAAAATGAAGAGGTGTTAGATAGAATAGGAAAACAGAGGTCACTGTGGAAGTCAATAAGAAATATGGGAGATAGGTTGGTAGGAGAGCTAGTTAGAGATAAAGGAAACAGAAGCAGGGTTTCAGAGGAGTCCCCAGTAGCACAACAATATTGGTAAAATATTATATTTACATATTGGTTCAATGATGGAAACGTCAGATTTTTTTTTATTGGCCCAATGTAGATTTTTAATATTAACCCAATATTGAAATTAAATATTGTTCCAATGTTAGGAAATAATAAATGTGCAATATTTATTTGAAAAATACAGCCAATATTTGTNGGAGAGAGACAGATGTCGAACGCTACCGAACGCGGAGGTCGATTGTGCCTCTTTGTCGCTCGTTCCGCGCTCTCGCTTGCACTTCAAGCCTTAAATGGAACGCCTCAGAGCGAGGTAACGACGCATGAGTCATGTTTTTTCGTGCGTGCAGCCGGGCTCCATCGAATTATAAGACGTTGTCACGTCAAAAGTTAGAAGCGTTCGAAATGTGGTGTTATAGGCGGATGATGAGGATAACGTGGATAGAGAAGGTTAGAAATGAAGAGGTATTAGAAAGAATAGGAGGACAGAGGACTCTATGGAAGTCAATAAGAAATAGGCGAGATAGAAGTTAAAAGGAGTAAAGGTAGACCTACATTAGATTACTGTTTGAAAATAGTTTAGGATGTGGGATGTTCTAGTTTTAGGGAAATGCGAAGATAATCTCAGGATACGAAGAGTGGAGGTGCGCCTTCAACCAGACTTACGATCTTACAATGATGATAACTTAAAATTCAATTGTTTCCGAACTTAATTTTTTCAATTTACTATCCTTTATCTTACTTCTCCTGAATTAAGGATATAAAGTGGCATTTGAGCAACATCGCGAATGCAGGTGTTTGATGGCACTTGAAGATTTCCTTCAAAAATCGACGTAGAAGCAGACGTTTCAACACAGTTCAAGCATACTTCGTCAACAGACCTAGAAAAGGCGCGTCGTTAATCCCAAGTGGGAAATTGCAAGAAATCGTTTCAATTTTTGTTTCAAAATTTTTACGTTGCATTAAATGAGGACTGATTTTCCTCTTCTAGTTGAAACTCGACCTTAAGCTGCGAACTTTCAGATAAGTTTGTACCAGGTGGTAGACGAATTGCCATCGTTAAACTATTTTTGCCTGCTTGATGCGACGGGGCCTGGAATAAAAGTGCGATAAAATCTGTAAATTATCGCCTCAAGAAACGGAAAAGTATAATATACTGGGCGTTTCGTTTTATTTTAAACGGTGAAAATTCTTACAGTTTTACTTATTTCGCCGACTATTTCCGACCCTTCCGCTATATTATTTGACCTCCTTTTAAAGCGTTGTAACAAATACGTAAGAGGTCTTAAGGAAAACCTTCTAATTCTTCTGGTTGTAGATTTGTCTTCTGACGAAGACGTTCCTTGTTCGCATTTTTCGTGTTTCTTTTCCTTTAAGCTTTGGAGACACTTGGAGAATTTCTTTAGTTTACTCATATCGGAATTAACGACATCGTTATCAACGTATTGGTTCGCTTGATCAAAAGATGCTAGCTTCGCTGGACATCTGATTGCAAAAAGTTTTGATTGAGAATCGTTTGAGAGCACGTCTTGCTTACAAAGTGATTTCCGCTTTCTTCTTTTCTTTCTTTCGGCATTAGACTTCAGACCGTCGTATATGTTTTCTTGTTTTAACATAGTGTTACGATATTACTAAAGGTAATTAACACTACAAATTTTTCATAATTTATACGGTAAAATGTCACAATTGTACAATGACAGAATTCTTGCCTTTTTAAGGTTTGAGTTAAAGACAAGGTGGGTCAAAGCTCACTCATTTATTTTACAAAGTATTCACTTAGTAGAATAGAGATTTAAAACATTTCACCAACTTTATTTTTATTCAATAAATACTGGATGAATGTAAATTTGAAGTATATTTAACGATTTCAAAACTAAGGCTCGTTGTCTACGATGCCGATCAAACTGAAGTCGGAACGACGACAGTGGGAATATGCCTACGATAAACACGATCAGCTTACGACAGTCTCGACAAGATGCTGGAACCACGACGAGGATCGATTATGTCGTTATTATTTTTTCTATTAACGGATGTACCATGAAATATATGTATATAGGCTGCAAGTGCACGAAAACTCTATTTTGACATTCGATGCAGCGACTTGAACTTGTCGTCATAAATATGAATGCATCTTTTTCCCGATTGCTATCAATATATGGATCCAGTTGACATCTGCGTCTTCCTGTACCGCAATTGCAGTGTCCGGATCAGTTAGTTGCAATCACTTTCCCAACCGACTGACCACAATTTAACCGGAGTCGGGGACACCCAGCCTTATGGTATCTTAAATTCCCTGCAGTTATCGGAAATAGATAGGAACAGTCTTAAAACTATAGATATCAGAAACATTATTTTATATTTAATATATTTTTACAAACGGACGTGTTGCGGTATGGAAGCTCAAAAAGATTTGTACTTGTATGTATGTCGTCTTTGAAAGACTCGGTATATTCATGGATATCTTTCACGTATGACCGTCAGTATTCGGTTGGCCTAAAAATATCGATTTATTTTTAAGCAGCACTGTATTTTCTTTCCGTAAATTAAAAATTCATGTCCTACATGGTTTGACGCGGCGGAACAAGAAGGGATTTTGTATGCCCATCAGTGGGCTGCCTAGATGTTGTCCAAAAGGGATTTTATTTCACCTACACATGCAGCCTGTTTTAAATGTCTCAGACCTCTCTTACAAGCGGCAGCTGCTGCTTTATTTTGCTTCTGATCAAGAGAGATGATGAAAACGCTGCATCACGTTTTGCTTTCGTAAAACGAATCTAACAAAGCGAAGGATCGTTCGAGCGACGTTGTAAATAAAACGCGCGACCTTTTCTGGTTTATTTTTTGTTTAATGACAAAACTAGTGAGTGTCACCTTCCAACGTTTTTTTTTTCTTGATAAACTGAACAATACGTCAACAATAAAACCATCGGCGCGTGTAAACTCAAAGTGCAAACCTTGAAAAATAGTGAAAGAATTTAAGGTAAGATTATTTCTAATCATAAATTAAAACGTAACTTGCGGATGTTCGTATTTTACCTACCTATAATATATAATATACAATTTATGCAACAACTTAAATTTAATAGTATTATTTGTAAAAACATTTTAATACTTCTATAATTTAAATTAAATCAAAGTAATAGGTGCAATTCTAATGTCAGACCTACATTAGATTACTGTTTGAAAATAGTTTAGGATGTGGGATGTTCTAGTTTTAGGGAAATGCGAAGATAATCTCAGGATACGAAGAGTGGAGGTGCGCCTTCAACCAGACTTACGATCTTACAATGATGATAACTTAAAATTCAATTGTTTCCGAACTTAATTTTTTCAATTTACTATCCTTTATCTTACTTCTCCTGAATTAAGGATATAAAGTGGCATTTGAGCAACATCGCGAATGCAGGTGTTTGATGGCACTTGAAGATTTCCTTCAAAAATCGACGTAGAAGCAGACGTTTCAACACAGTTCAAGCATACTTCGTCAACAGACCTAGAAAAGGCGCGTCGTTAATCCCAAGTGGGAAATTGCAAGAAATCGTTTCAATTTTTGTTTCAAAATTTTTACGTTGCATTAAATGAGGACTGATTTTCCTCTTCTAGTTGAAACTCGACCTTAAGCTGCGAACTTTCAGATAAGTTTGTACCAGGTGGTAGACGAATTGCCATCGTTAAACTATTTTTGCCTGCTTGATGCGACGGGGCCTGGAATAAAAGTGCGATAAAATCTGTAAATTATCGCCTCAAGAAACGGAAAAGTATAATATACTGGGCGTTTCGTTTTATTTTAAACGGTGAAAATTCTTACAGTTTTACTTATTTCGCCGACTATTTCCGACCCTTCCGCTATATTATTTGACCTCCTTTTAAAGCGTTGTAACAAATACGTAAGAGGTCTTAAGGAAAACCTTCTAATTCTTCTGGTTGTAGATTTGTCTTCTGACGAAGACGTTCCTTGTTCGCATTTTTCGTGTTTCTTTTCCTTTAAGCTTTGGAGACACTTGGAGAATTTCTTTAGTTTACTCATATCGGAATTAACGACATCGTTATCAACGTATTGGTTCGCTTGATCAAAAGATGCTAGCTTCGCTGGACATCTGATTGCAAAAAGTTTTGATTGAGAATCGTTTGAGAGCACGTCTTGCTTACAAAGTGATTTCCGCTTTCTTCTTTTCTTTCTTTCGGCATTAGACTTCAGACCGTCGTATATGTTTTCTTGTTTTAACATAGTGTTACGATATTACTAAAGGTAATTAACACTACAAATTTTTCATAATTTATACGGTAAAATGTCACAATTGTACAATGACAGAATTCTTGCCTTTTTAAGGTTTGAGTTAAAGACAAGGTGGGTCAAAGCTCACTCATTTATTTTACAAAGTATTCACTTAGTAGAATAGAGATTTAAAACATTTCACCAACTTTATTTTTATTCAATAAATACTGGATGAATGTAAATTTGAAGTATATTTAACGATTTCAAAACTAAGGCTCGTTGTCTACGATGCCGATCAAACTGAAGTCGGAACGACGACAGTGGGAATATGCCTACGATAAACACGATCAGCTTACGACAGTCTCGACAAGATGCTGGAACCACGACGAGGATCGATTATGTCGTTATTATTTTTTCTATTAACGGATGTACCATGAAATATATGTATATAGGCTGCAAGTGCACGAAAACTCTATTTTGACATTCGATGCAGCGACTTGAACTTGTCGTCATAAATATGAATGCATCTTTTTCCCGATTGCTATCAATATATGGATCCAGTTGACATCTGCGTCTTCCTGTACCGCAATTGCAGTGTCCGGATCAGTTAGTTGCAATCACTTTCCCAACCGACTGACCACAATTTAACCGGAGTCGGGGACACCCAGCCTTATGGTATCTTAAATTCCCTGCAGTTATCGGAAATAGATAGGAACAGTCTTAAAACTATAGATATCAGAAACATTATTTTATATTTAATATATTTTTACAAACGGACGTGTTGCGGTATGGAAGCTCAAAAAGATTTGTACTTGTATGTATGTCGTCTTTGAAAGACTCGGTATATTCATGGATATCTTTCACGTATGACCGTCAGTATTCGGTTGGCCTAAAAATATCGATTTATTTTTAAGCAGCACTGTATTTTCTTTCCGTAAATTAAAAATTCATGTCCTACATGGTTTGACGCGGCGGAACAAGAAGGGATTTTGTATGCCCATCAGTGGGCTGCCTAGATGTTGTCCAAAAGGGATTTTATTTCACCTACACATGCAGCCTGTTTTAAATGTCTCAGACCTCTCTTACAAGCGGCAGCTGCTGCTTTATTTTGCTTCTGATCAAGAGAGATGATGAAAACGCTGCATCACGTTTTGCTTTCGTAAAACGAATCTAACAAAGCGAAGGATCGTTCGAGCGACGTTGTAAATAAAACGCGCGACCTTTTCTGGTTTATTTTTTGTTTAATGACAAAACTAGTGAGTGTCACCTTCCAACGTTTTTTTTTTCTTGATAAACTGAACAATACGTCAACAATAAAACCATCGGCGCGTGTAAACTCAAAGTGCAAACCTTGAAAAATAGTGAAAGAATTTAAGGTAAGATTATTTCTAATCATAAATTAAAACGTAACTTGCGGATGTTCGTATTTTACCTACCTATAATATATAATATACAATTTATGCAACAACTTAAATTTAATAGTATTATTTGTAAAAACATTTTAATACTTCTATAATTTAAATTAAATCAAAGTAATAGGTGCAATTCTAATGTCAGACCTACATTAGATTACTGTTTGAAAATAGTTTAGGATGTGGGATGTTCTAGTTTTAGGGAAATGCGAAGATAATCTCAGGATACGAAGAGTGGAGGTGCGCCTTCAACCAGACTTACGATCTTACAATGATGATAACTTAAAATTCAATTGTTTCCGAACTTAATTTTTTCAATTTACTATCCTTTATCTTACTTCTCCT